CTCTGTGTGTGTGTGTGTGTGTGTGTGTGTGTGTATATATATAATACAATAACTAGAAATGGCTATTATTTTATATATATATATATAAATAAAATATGCCATTTCTAGTTATTGATATATTTCTAAATATATTTCAGCTTAAACATGAAGTTATGGATATATTCATAGATTCATAGATTCTAGGACTGGAAGGGACCTCGAGAGGTCATCGAGTCCAGTCCCCTGCCTGCATGGCAGGACCAAATACTGTCTAGACCACCCCTGATAGACATTTATCTAACCTACTCTTAAATATCTCCAGAGATGGAGATTCCACAACCTCCCTAGGCAATTTATTCCAGTGTTTAACCACCCTGACAGTTAGGAACTTTTTCCTAATGTCCAACCTAGACCTCCCTTGCTGCAGTTTCATACACACACACATTGCTATTCTTTGAAGGAAGCTTTAAATGGGGGTTGAAATTGTTGACATTAGCATTCCAACGGTTCTATTAGAGTCTTAATATCAGACAGCTTAATAGTTTTAAGTTGGAAAAAAATACAGTTAGTATTTTTAAGACAAATTAAATGGTCCAATCCTGTAGACATTTAACTAACTTGAGTAGTTCCACTTTGTTCCAGATCCTCAGCTAGTGTAAAGCGGTGTACCTCCATTGTCCTTAATACAGCTACATCAGTATATACCAGCTGACATTCTGACCTTCTAAGTTTAAATTTGATCCAGCTTCCACTGAAGTCAATGTTGGTTCCATTGACATTAGTAGGAGTTGGGTTGGATCCATATTACATGCATGATTTTTTACATTTTTCTCCAGTTAATGCTGAGCCACATTCCTCTTCCTCCTGAGACTTACTGTTTACAACAGGGCAGGTGTAAGTATTTTTTTGTGCTTAGTGGAAGATGGTTGTGACAAAGTCAGTGAAATTCCAAGCTACAGAGAAATTTATTATGGCTTAATTCACACAAAAATGTCTGCATTTACACACCAATTCATTCACTTAGACATAGTAGAGAAAACATCTTCCCAGAAAATCATACTGCATATATAGAACTATTGTTTATTTATTTACTTTTTCCTGTATGTGAATGGCTTACTCTGTTACATATCCCTGAGTACACATGAAATGGCATAGCGCTATTTTCCCACATGCAAAGTACATTATCAGAGTCAAATTAATTAATAGGTAGCATGTTTAAAAAGGACTAGGTAAATTCATAGAGGATAGGTTCATCAATGGCTATTAGCCAGGATGGGCATGGATGGTGTCCCTAGTGTCTGTTTGCCAGAAGCTGGGAATGGGCAACAAGGAATGGATCACTTGATGATTCCTGTTCTGTTCATTCACTCTGGGGCACCTGGCATTGGCCACTGTCGGAAGACAGGATACTAGGCTAGATGTACCTTTGGTCTGACCCAGTATGCCCGTTCTTATGTTCTTAAATTAGAAAATGCTGAATGTAGTTTGGGAGACAGCTCTTTCAGGGGCTAGTCTAAAACTGTGGACTGAATTTCCACAGGAACTTCCACAGGGGCAATCAAAAATCTCACCACCTATTGCATGGCATACATTGTTGACCTGCCTTCTCTAACATGGTATACACAGCAACATATATACATAAATGAAATATATATGTTTTAAAAACCTACCAAAAGACTCCAGTTCAAACATAATTCTTTCTCTGGGGAGAGTATGAGAGAGGGAACAAATATCATGTGACAGGTATTAGTCATGTACTACTGGAAGGGGCTTACATACTATGGTGAAGAGGGGTGGTATAACAACCCATAGAGAATAGAATGGAGAGATCTTGCAGCATTTCTATAAAGATATAAAGTTATTTTGAGCAGTGGTGCTGAAAGGGTGCTCTGGGATAGGGCAGGGGGTTGGGGCAAGGGGGAGTGAGGGCTCCAGGAGGGAGATTGTGTAGGGGAGGGGACACTGGTCTGAGGCACGGGGTTGGGGTGCAGGAGAGGGTTCAGGGTGTGGGTCCTGGTGATGCTTACCGCGACTCCCAGGAAGCAGCCATCAGTTCCCTGCAGTCCCTAGACACATGGTCAGTCAGGGAGGCTCCATGCGCTGCCCTTGTTGCCCGCAGGCACCACCCCCGCAGCTCCCATTGGTCATGATTCCCAGCCAATGGGAGCTGCAAAGCTGGCCCTCGGGGCAGGGGCAGCGCATGGAGCCTCCCTGGCTCCCCATGTGTCTAGGGGCTGTAGGGACCTAACAGCCCCTTCTGGAAGCCGCGCAGAGCTAGGGCAAGTGGGGAGCCTGCCTTAGTCCCGGGCCCTGCTGCGCTGCCGACCTGACTTTAATGGCCTGGTCAGCAATGCTGACTGGAGCCACCAAGGTCCCTTTTCAACCGGGTGTTCCAGTCGTAAACCGGACGCCTGGCAAGCCTAGGCCAAATTGAGGCCCTAAGTGCTTTCACCGGGGATGGATAGACATTAATGCTTTAAACGCAGTATTAATGTGTGCTTGTATTATGGGACGTTGTACCCTACAGATCCTGTTTGGCTGCAGGTCTTGGGGACTTGCACATGCACAACCAGAGACCTGAATTTAAATACCCACTGAAGTCAAAGGAAAGACACCCATGGACTTCAGTGGGCATTGGATTGGGCTGGATTCTGCCAATCTTACTTTAGATGAGTGGTACTTACTCATGTGAGTTATGTGTATTTTGTCAACAAATGGTTCCTGTTTAGGCTCTTTCACACTGACTATCTCTCAAAAAGTTTAGAATTAAAGTGCACATTTAAAATATTCAAAACATAATTTTAATGTGATACATTGTTTTAGTACTAGGAGCTAGCCAAGTCCGCTTTAAAATTGAATAAGGACAAGATCATGATTTCCATATTTGTCTATATGGAGTGGATGGAAGGAGAGGAAAGTCCACTTCGTGGGCCTATATTTTGTCAGTGAGAAAGAGGCATATAGCGAGGTAAAAGCTGTGCAGGTTCTCTTGCTCATGTGAGAGTTGCTCCCTCCTGCAGAATTCCAAAGTCCTCTAGAAAGAGGCTCGCTCTTCCAGATCTCACATGGAAGGGAGGCTGCTGATGGTTTCTAGACAAATATTTTCACATTAGGGAATTTCTTTTTTCTCTTTTTCTCTTTAAAAAATAATCTGAAATTTGATTAGAAAACACTGCGTTAAGAGAGCTTTGATTTTTTTTTAAGGTTTCTCATTCAACATTAGCTCTGCAAATTTGTGTGTATGCATTATTAAACCAGGATTTATTTACGTGATCACATACTCTCTAAAGTAATACAATGCATCATAGATTGTTCTACATGTTAGGTACACATCTGTAGCATCTTTAAAACTGTGCACTACTATGTATATGCCAAACAATCCATAAGTCATTTATCTGAAAATCAGAAAGTAAACTATTCTTATAAAATCATACTACACAATAAGTGCAACTGCACTACGTTATAATCAAATCTTGCTGGCATATTGATGCCACCTACATATTCAGCTACGTTAGCTTCATAGCCAATTGCCTCATCTCCTGGATTGCACCTGAGGAATGCAGTTCTTCTGGTTAAGAAAATGGATAATACATGGCTGCTGATAAATTATTAAAATACATACATAAAAGTCTAAGTCAAAAGTCTAAGTCAATACAAACATACTGGCCCTTTGACAGTGAAAATAGTATAAATATTCAAGAAAGAAATATGAGAAAATGCTGTATCCGTTTATCTCAAGGAGGAGAAACAATGGAAAATTATAATGGATTATTTGAGAAATAATGTGATAAGGTAAACATCAACTGCATTGGAATGCATATGCAAAAGAGGACAGAGTCAAGCTGGTGTGGGAGTCACTCTTAACATTGCTATTTCCTGACTTAACTGTGCCATCTCAACAGTCTCTTAATATAGGGTTTTTTATTATGGAATATATTGTGGCTTTGGTAGAGGAGTTATTTTCAATACTTTAACAGTGGTTTTCATGCTATAAACTAGCTTAATAAAACAGCTTACTTTTTTGGCAAGATAAAACATTTGTTTTAACACTCATGGTCCTGCAAATTTTGATAGTCAGACATTTTGAACTTGTGCATGTCTTTCCTAAATTTTGAAGCTTATGGCACTCATTTTTGTAAAAGAACATTACTATCTCCAAGAGATAAGCACCAGGTGCATTGTATTTTAAAATGTTACAATAAAGAAATTTTGTTTTGAATGTATAAATTGTGTGGACCGTGGAGAAAATCTATGTACAGTGATAATGCTATGAATGTTATTATTTTAGACTGCATTATATTCATGGCTTCTGCACACTTTGGTCTATTTATATTGTGCCTAACAATAGCTATACATTTTCAGATAAGAGCAAAGAACATCTAGCTTAGAATATTTGTATTAGTATTGTGTATTCATTACATACACAAATAGTGAAAGAGCAGAAAATTTAATCTGTATTTGTGTCAGTGTATAGTTGACTTAAAGTACCATGCAGCTGTTCTAAATTCTATCTGTATTCTGCCTTAATTTTAAATACATCTGTACAATTTATGTTTCTGCACATAATTGTAATATGTACTGAAATATTAAAACAGTTTTAGTGTGTTTGTATAACAATCTAACAATCCAAAGGTAATCTTTCAGGGAGTTAAGGGGGATTAACCTTCAGTGCTATACCAATTATCAGATGGAGTCCCATAGTAAACCCCCCTCGTATCAGAATGCAACTGCCTTTATTGAAGTTTTGTTGTGCCATTTTACTGAATTTTTAAAAGCCTTTGAAATTAAATATTTTAAATGAGCAGGTTTCCTTTCCCTTAGACTGGTGTAAATAGAGAATAGCTACTGAAGTTAAGGGAGCCATACCAATAGAAAACTGCTGTAAGATTAGAATTGAGCCCTACAGGTTTGTGCATTACTCATG